TTTGATAAACTAATTGTTGGATCACTAGAGATCACCAAAGAAGATGAAATGAGGGAGAGAGGGAGAGAAAAAGAAGGGGCAAAAAGTACATAAGGGGAGAATAAAGGGAGATGTTTACTTGTTTTCTCTCCCTTCCACTTTGTGGTAAATTCAACAGTAAACATTTAGCATCAAGTACTAGTAGCAATACAGAAAATAATGATCAGAAGCATCTTTTCAGCAACTCTCTAAACAAAGCAGTTTACTTACGATTCTTGTATTTTACAGCTCTGACCGTGGCCATCACAGACTTGTCTCAGGAGAAGTTCCCAGAGTTCTCCAGATACGTTGTCTTGTACATACTGCAGGTGAGAAAAGAAAAAAAACATGTATGATGTGTTCTGTATAAGAAAGTTCTTTATTGAGCAATTAGTGGTTTTTTACATCGGTGAAGGTTAGACGGATATGATTTTAGAAATGGTCACACGTTTCAGGTAGCATCCACTACCTTTTGTTAGTGGGTTTTTACATCCAATGTTTTAGTGACAGTCACCAGAACATCTGTACATCTGTCTTCATGTTTGGAATGGAAGAAGAAGAGGAAGAAACTGAGCAAAAACAATATGCTTACCGATCATGCTGTGTTGTGTCCATGCAATTAGAGGGTTTTTACATCGGTGAAGGTTAGACATCCAGGTATTAATATTTTAAGATACGCCAAAACACAGCAACTGGATATGATTTTAGAAAAACAATATGCTTACCGATCATGCCGCGTTGTGTCCATGCAGGGTGTGACAGCTCCAGCGCAGGGCTTCCTCAACAGCCTGGTGTACGGCTGGACACGGAGCGGCTTCCGGGAGGCCATGAGGGACAACATCGCCGCCACGTCTACCTCTCCACAGACTCCCCTTCTACTGGCTCGGTCCAACGTAGGTGTTGTTTTCATGACGTATTTGGTGTTGGGTTGTGTGTGTGTGTGTGTGTGTGTGTGTGTGTGTGTGTGTGTGTGTGTGTGCGTGCGTGCGTGCGTGCGTGCGTGCGTGTGTGCGTGCGTGTGTGCGTGTCCACAATACCACATTACCACATATCCTCAGTACTGCTTTTTCTGTTGTTGTGGTATGTGGGGGTTATTTTATGACGTCTGCCATGCCTTTCGTTGATTTCTCATACTGTCATGAAAGTTTATCTGTGTTGGCAGTTACATGTTTAAAGTTAAAACATTAGATCCAGCACAGTAAAAAAGTTCTCTAACCTAGAGTTTTTGACCAGACGTCACTCTGGTCTTCCTCAATAGACTGACCCAGTGAGGCCTGTTACTTTGAGCACGTTGGCAGAACGTACTGCACCTGCACGAAACTCATAATATATTGTGCATAGCACTTTGGCTGAGCATCTCATGTAAGGTCATACGTGCACATATAAAGTTAACACTCCGTCTGTATTTTCCAAAATGTTATGTCTTGAATATATAACTGCAACAGGCAAAATTCTAATGCAACGTTGACCAAAAATCCAACCAAAACTGTGAAAAATGGTGGTTTTGCGCAGGCACAGTACGTTCTGCCGACATGCTGTCACTTGGCTTCTTCAAAGTGTGACGTCAACACTGATTTCTGGTTTGTTTCTCATCGCAGGTGATCCACTACGGCTCAAGCGGCCGCAGCAGCCCCACCACCCCTCCCCCCGGTGTGCTCTCCTTCCGAACCAGCTTCAACGAGACCCACCCTCCCGGCCGACCGGCCCGACAGACACTAATAAAACAGTCCGTGTAAACACAAGTCATGTTAAACACAAGTCATGTTAAACACAAGTCACGTTAAACATGCATCGGTTAAGGTTAGGCATCCAAGGTATTAATAAGATAAAATTAAGCAATCATTCAAGCAAAAGCAGTTATTACGGCAACTTGATGCCCAAAAGGAATTATATTCAAGCAACTTGATATGATGATTTTAGAAATGGTCAGATGTTTCAGGTAGTATCCACTACCTTTCGTCAGTGATACTAAGAGACTGCAGGAGAAATGCAGGTTTATATACAAGTACAAACTAAAACAATGTTAAACATGCCCTAGAGTGTGGAAAAACAAGTTCAAAATGCTCTTCATTGAAGAGCTAGTCTTCCACTGGTCATAACAGAGAAGACAAACGCTATGTACAGTATTTACAGTGGACACAGTATTTCACTTTTTGCCGGCCCCTTAAATAACTTTCCCAAATTGATTTTTTTGGTCCCCTAAATGGTTATAATATTGGGCGGTTTTGTCTGTAATTGCCATAAAATGTAACATTTGTACATTCTGGTTGTGTATGATATTATTCACATTTTTATTGTATATATTTGACGAAAAAACTTAAGGGGTTTTTCAAATTTTCATATTGCCACTGGCTGTAATGGTTTGCACAAGTTTTGCACAATTATATGTAATGTATATGGTGGTGGAAAGTGCTTCTTAATTTATTAACTACTAACGAAAAGATTTGTTGTATAAATTGAAGGATTTATCTAAATCAGATACACAATTATAAGTTTATAAATGTAGTAATATTGTAGGAAGTGAATTCAGATTTATTTATTTGGGAGCAAGGGTGGCGAGTCCTCAACCTACCTAAAATAGTGGCTAAGATTTTCCTAATTTTTTAAAATTTTTGATGTACTTATTTCCAAGACAGTATTTTGTTTGTTTGCTTTTCATAACCGGTAAACCGCCTTTAGGCGTAACGCACCAGTTCTGTACAGTAAGTACAAGCTATTTAAGACCGGACTGTAAGGTTTGAACCACTCACTCCGGGAAGGACCCCTATTCTTTTTTTGAAAGGTGCGGTGGGTCCTTTAACGTGTTTGGGGACCTCCATCTAACGTCTTATTAAAAAAAATCCCTAACCAAAAGTTGGTACTGAAAAACTGTTTAGAAATCATTGCTATTATTTCGTTTGTAATTCATATCAATGCAGCAAATAAAAGTCCACAATTAACATCTACATTGTTATTTGTATATAAGTACATTAAACCGGTAGACATGAGAAATACCTGCACAGCTCCAGTTCTTCCTGCACTATACCGCATAATAATATGCAGGTGATATTTCAAGCCTTGTACATGTATAACTGTAAGTTGGTTTGTTATATATTCGGCAAGATGTATGCGCACAATTCTTTCACATGTATTTCTGTATGGTATATGTCTGTTCATTTTTTGTTCTGAGTTGCAGTATATATTAAAACCCTTGTCCTGCTGTGCGCAACATATGTCGCGCGGCACATACAGTACCATCTATGTAACACTCTGCATAGGTACGGTTTGGGGATATTTCTCGTGCAACGCATCACACCGCAGCGAAACGCAACGAATGCGGAAGTAACTATGCCACTGCAGGGCAAAAAAAATTGGGGGTCTATGATCTAATTAAGACATGAAAATATTGAAAAATATTGTGCCAGGAATGCCAGCAGGACAAGGGTTAAGAAAAGTGTCATAGCCGTAATCGTTGATATATTAACCTTTTTACTGCTTCCTAAAGCCATAACCAATAGAAATTTGGTGGCAAAGTCTACTTCAGCAGGGGGAGGTTAAGTATAGAATGAACCTGTTTATATATACAAGTTAAATTGTCTGTTCATTTGTTTGACTGAATATTATTAAATTGATTGATTGAAATCTTACAAAAAGCTGTGTTAAAACACAGAATGTCCTGTAAAATTTATGAAGCCTATTCAGTTTTCGAATGGAATTACGTAATGCTATAAGGGATGACTGTCACCTCATTAGCATAATTGCTAATAAAATATGACAGATGTGAAATTTGCTGTGTTGTTTTTTCAGTGGTGTTCAGTGTATGTTTGTGTTTGTGTTTGAGAGTGAGTCTCTGTATACGTGTGTCTGTCTCGGTGTCGGTGTTGGTATCGGTACATGTACATTTGTATGTGGGTGTGGGTGTGTCTGTGTATGTGAACGTGTCTTTGTATTTGTGTGATTGTTTGCGCATACGTGTATATGTGTGTATGTATGTGTGTGTGCAGGTGAGTGTGTGTATGTGTGTATACTAGTATAGGCATGTTTCTGTGTATTTGTGTTTTGTTTTTTTGTGTATTTGAGTGGAGCAAAGTTGTGGATGCCGATGTAAGGAGTAGTGCACTACTGTATAAACAAAAAATGATAAACAATCACTTTAACTCTTAAAGTTAAAGTGATTGTTCATCTTAAAAATATTAAAGTTGTTTCACTCAATTATTGTCTATATTTGAATGTGTTATCGATATTTTATACTTACGTCATTATCGGATATACTTCTTTTAACACTTAATCTTTTAACGCTAAAATGTTACAATTGTTAATGTGAATGTACATGTAATTTACAACACAATTCAGGCTGTTTCAGCCTGCAATGTCGTTTTGATGAATAAAGTGTAAATTGTAAAGTACTGTGTAAATTGTAAACTCTGAGAGCATGATAGTATAACATAAAAAAACTTCCATTTTTCTTCTTTCTTTTAAGGGCATCCAGTGCAGTTTTTAGGGCTTGGAAACCCTATTTTTGTAAGCCAATATTCCAGTAATGTATCCACATAGTGAGTTGAAACCACACTATCCAATGTACATGTATATTGACCCTCAGGAAGCAAAAATTCTGTCGGAAAATGGTTACTGGAAGGGCCCTTGGCTGATTTTTAGGGTACCACCCATAAAATATAGGACTCATCTTGAGGCTGTAGTTTTAAAAGCCCAAAGTATGAAATGCCGACTCAAATGTGCCAAGTGTGTGTCATTATCACAAAGATTGCCAGATTTCCAGTTTTGCTGCCTTGAAATCGCATTAGATTCCTTTAAAACAATACTTTACACATTCACTACAATTACTGTAATGATAAGTGATATATAATTAACAAGTGTCAACAGCAGTTTCCAAATGCAAAAAGAAGAAAAAAAGACGTTTTCCACTTTGTTGCTCCGTCTTCTGACCTTTAGCAAGCCCCGTGCAATTTGATAGATTTTATTTTTGGCGATGTTTACTTTCAGCGACCTTCTGGCTGACTACCAACAAGTAGCTCACCGGCTGTGCTACACCAAACCTAGCCTCTACCAGGCTCCGCGGATCGCTGGAAAAATAGTAGAAATGGGCCGAAATAAAGGGATAGTATACAAGAGAAGATCCAGCCGGCCATAGAAGCTCCAATTTGCGACCCACGGGGTCTATGGCCGGCTGGATCTTCTCTGGTATACTATCCCTTTATTTCGGCCCATTTCTACTATTTTTCCAGCGATCCGCGGAGCCTGGTAGAGGCTACACCAAACCCCTGAAAGGGTACTAGTAGTATTTCTTTAATCTCCAAGCAGATCCCTCTCGGTGGCAAAAAGACAGTATCAAATTGGCCAGGCAGTATCCATTAGCCAGAGAAGCTCCGCGGCCACCGACGGTGGGGATCAGGACAAAAAAAACAGCCATATATAAAAAGGTAACGATCATTCCCCACAACCTCTGCTTGGAGAGTATATTTCTTCACCAGGCGTCTATGGTTACTGTAATTCCTGATTTTTTTCACTGTACTTTTATGTTGAACTTCACTGTTTTCACTGTCACATCTGTACCGTGAAGTTATCTTTAATGATATAATATTCCCGAACTTTCTTATTCCTGCACCTGTCGCCACCGTGAATATGTAGTTCCATGAATTGAATATGTCCATTTTTCTCAGACCGCGAACTTTTGCTACCGTGAACATAAAGAGAATTACAGTATACAGTCACATAGACAACAAGGTGAAAAAAAACTTAGCAAGTTCAAAGCAGTTCAAGTTTATTTATTTCACCAGGGCATACCTCAGATCAGTTGATCTGATTTTCAGGTATCCCTGGGCACACATTAAAAATTACATACACAAGTTCAACGCAACAATATACAACAAATATTACAAACATTTACATATTATACAAAACAATCACAGTATACAATATAGGCACATTTCATCTGCGGTCATCTACAGTCCGTTTTTAAAAGCTGACGTTGCTATCAGTTGCCGCTGGTCAGCAGCAAGACAGTTCCACAGGACTGGCCCTTGGTACTGCAGGCTGCCCTTGAAAGATTCCACATGTGCTTTGGGAGTGTCCAGCATGTGAGGGTCGAAGCTGTAGAGCTGTTTCGTAGCAGTGCGAGTACGAACTCTCAGCACTGGGGGTGACAGCCATTTGAACATATGTGTCATGTAGGCAGGTGCCTTGTGGCGAACTGCCTTGTGTACAGTTACTAATGTGTTCAGTTTCACCCTTTCAGCCAGGGGTACCATACCAGCCTCTGCAAGCAGGGTTTCTGTAGGTACACGATCTTTGAGTGATCGCCCAGTAATAATCCTGGCTGCCCGATTTAACAGTCTAGTCAATTGTTGTGATCTTACTTTGTTACAATGAAAAAGTGACAGTAACCATGTAGTATCACAATAATCCAGGTGAGTATATAACAAGGTTCGACACATGACTAGCAGGATCTCCTTAGTAACATAAGGTTTAGCCCGGCTTAAGGCATTAAGGCCAGCAAGGAGCTTCTTAACAATTCTTTCTGCATGTGCTGACCAGTTTAGAGAGGAGTCCATGGTGACACCTAGGTAAGTATACACATTTACCTGCTCAAATGAGTTAGACCCATCAGTTACAGTGACAGTGTTTCCTGCGTGACGCAGTTTCTGAGGTGATCCAAATACCATGGATTTAGTTTTGTCAGGGTGAAGTGATAATCTATTTACAATAAACCAGTTAGCTACCAGTTTCATATCCTCTGACACAGTTTCCTCACATTCCTTTGACAGCCTAGCCGAGTAATAAAGCACAGTGTCGTCGGCGTACATATGGATTTTACACTTACGCACAACTTGTGGTAGATCGTTCACATATAAGCTGAATAACAAAGGACCTAAAACACTCCCTTGCGGGACACCACAAGTGACACGTTTTCGCGTAGACTGCTGGTTCTGAATGTCTACGTGCTGGAAACGGTCTGTGAGGTATGACCTGAACCAGTTTGTCGCGCCGTTGTCGAAACCCATCTTCTGAAGTTTTCCAAGGAGGATTTGGTGGTTGA